GAAAAAACTAAGACAGTATCTCTGCACAAAAGGAGTTGCTTCAAAATCCAAAAGACAGTGAAAATTTAAAGGTTTAGGAGCTGTTTAAAAACCATACTAAGAAGAAATTATTTCAATTTACCGGGGCACTCAACAACTTCTTGGCTAAAGCCATACCTGTTGGATTCAAAGCCAGTAAAGGGTAAGAACACAACTATAGAGAATTAGAGATTTAACATCTGGATAAATATATAATATGTGACAGTAATAAAAGAGATGATAATGCTTTATATGCCCATTAGCAAGACACTGCACACACATCAATCACAGTATTCTTTCCAGTTCTGCAAGCATACAAAAGACTAGTTCAAACACAAATTCACTAAACAATTAATAGAAAATGGACCAAACGCTGACCTCAAACATGAATATAACAAGCTTGGGAACATTGTTTAATATAATATTCTTACAGTAGAATGGGAGAAGGAGGCCGAACATGCCAAGTTGGGAGGCCAGTTACTGGATCCTGAGTCAGAATCATGCAAGATGCAAATCATTATATTTGAAAAAGCCTAAGCAGTCATAAATTATTCTCATCGACAAACATTTAACTATTATAAAAGCTTCCTGTGGTAAGATAACCACCGTAAAAGGCCAGAAGCTCAATTGCAGCTCATGGCTTCTCCATGTTCCCCAATCTTCAGAGAAAAGTGGCCACATCCAATGAGTAACATCTTCCCAACCAATCTATGATACGAATTTAGGACATAAAAACAAATAAAACTTGCTTAATCAAAAAATAGTAATAATAATATAACCACTTGCTTAAACAAATAAAACTTGCTTAATCAACTTGCCGAGGAGAACTTAAATGAGAATAACTGCAATAAAAATGTTGGACCTTAAGATTTACATCTTTAGGAAATTTTCACCATGAAAAAAATCATAGCAAGATTCAAGTGGAGACAAGTAAAGCATGAAAGATAAAAGTTCACAGCTTATGAATGTAAAATATATTGCAGTATACCAGCAGAAAGCTGAACGATATACGATATGCATACCTTACCAGTTGGAGCTTGTTGAAGATACTTGTACAAAAGAGGAAGTTCATTCCTAAACTGACGTTCAAAAGACGAAGGGGCGCTGGATTATATAAAAAGGAAAAGTTACAACTCTCTATAATGTTTATAGTAAGATAATAATCAAGTGTCAAAAACCCTAAATAAGAGAAAAATAGGTTTCTGGCTGCAAAATGAAACTTCATATTTTTTACAGTATTTCTGCGTGCAAAAACTAACTAGGAATAAGCTAAAAACTTTCCCACTTGATGGTACCAGGAGATGTGATTTACATTTTTTGTAAATGGGGACAGTCACTCAATTGTCTAAAGCTGTTTCAAATGACAATCAGATAATGCTGGGCATAAAACTTCAAGTTATCCTACTTCCAAACTTCAGAATTTGATCAAAGTTTTCTACTAATGAGCAATAGGACTACGTAGCCTAGAGAATTTATATTTAGGTTAAGGAGTAAATTAAATGTCTTTAAATAAGAATAACTCCATAGGTTTCTGGATTTGTAATTCCTATTTTAGGTGGTTTGGAATCAATAACATTTATAGATTTGTAAGTTATCAGAAAAGAAGGAGAAAAAGATATACAATGATAGGACTTGAAAAGAGAATAAATCATGGATTGGAATTTAGAGAGAGAGAGAAGAGATCCGCTCACATAACATTATCCTTACTTCGACCTACAATCCAGGCAAACAAAATAAATGATCAATATCAATCACTTCATATTCCAACAATTCCACATAACAGATTTTGAATCCAAACCAATTTTCCTCAGTCTAGTGGAGTAGAATTGTGATGTAAAGCTTAATAAAAATACCTATATGGAACAACATATGGAGCAGCAACAACACACCGAATATCAAATAGTTCTGCAAGACTCCAACCTTCCTGAACATAGTAAAACAAATTTTTAATTGGGAGTTCTTCCAAATAAGCCTCATTCTAAGTGCTAGTGTCTACTCACAGCCTCTTAGCTAACAGAATAAACAAAGCGACCATCATCTGATGAAGTTGTATCTTCAGCTCTTATTTATGTAGACAAAAAAGAGGGGAGAAAAAAAAACATAAGCTTTTGTGGATCCCCACTTAAATTGAGTTCACTATACAAAAGCCACTGGGTCTAGAATTGGTATTAGTATCTTGCAAAAAATTTACAAAAGGTGGCATGCTAAATAGTGGATAGAAACAGAAACTAATACTTATAAGTTGCTTGTTTAGTTTGTGTTTGAAAAACTAAACATACTACAGTCAACGAGTTTCATTCAATCATACTTCTCCTATAGTTAAGGAACTTCAAGAATTCCGTAGCACCCGTGTCAACAGTGCACTCAATAACGTACTCAACTTAGCACACAGCAGCTACTCTGCCTCGTGTTGAGCAAATGCGAGTTATATCTTACTAAGTACTGCATGGAGCCAAAAGATTTAATAACATGAACTGAAAGGGAAATGGAGGGTTAAAGTTGTTATTTGTGTCAGAATTATGAAAAAACTGACAAATGCTTATCGGCTCATAACAAACTCCATCTGAGCACTCACGGAACCCTCCTTCGTAACAAGGTGGTTTTAATCGTTACAATATTGAAATCCATACTTGAAAAGAATTGAGTGTATAGGAAATACGAAGTTCCAGACGTCAACTAAAGGTGATTTACAAGATGCCAACTGCATTCAACGTTCAACCAACGTGTGATTTTGTAAATTCTGCAGGTTGTATTACCTAACAAATAACACCAGGACATTGGTCATCAGACTATTGCAAAATTAATAGGTCACACCTCTAAATTAAATGTATCAGTCTGCAATAAACCTTAGTCTCAGCTTTTTCCAAATAATCCTTGTCCCGATCATTAAAGAAACCAGATAACTGTCTCCCGGTTAACATGCCTGACATGCACTCTTTCAGAATTGAAACAGATATTTTCTTTGGCAGCTTTCTTTCAGCTATCCACTTCATCATGTTAAAAGATTTTGACAGTTTTATAAGAAACCAAAAAATGCAAAAGAATTTGACAAGAAGTTACCAGTGCAAAGAAGTTTATGATAATAAGATCACCATCAATGGTCGGGGTTTCTCCATAGATGCTTTCAACAACTAAAAGACATTCTTGCCTGTGTTTTCTCGTGATCTCATGCTTCTGCATAGAAAAAGACCCCTCTGTAGAGCCTGGTATATCAGATAAACATGGATGAAAAATTCACATAATGGCATCCTAATGTTGAAGCAAAGTATCTAATCATACAGATTGAAGAGAGATCTCAACTCATTTACTGCCTAATGGAAACTAGCTTTTTCTAAATTTAAGGAGATAAAAAGGCCTTATAACTTAGTTCTTGTGATCCAACAAAAAAAAAAAGAAAAGGAAAGAAGTTTGGTAAAAAAACATGTAGTCGCAGAGACCTCCAGTATTGTTATCTTGCACAGAAGATAGAACGGGTGGCGAAAAAATTGGGAAATATTGAACTCCTTTTGTTCCCAGATGACCACGCACGTCCTGCAACCCATAATGAATCTGCTAATTATGATGATATTACCAAATAAAAAGTTAAGCTCAAAGGACAATGCAAGGGGAAAAAACAAAAGAAACATAAACAAAAACAAACTTTATATCAAATTTTAAAACCATTAGCAAGGCTCTTGTAAAGATTAAAATTAAAGTTCATGATTTAATCCAATGAACTTGGCAAAGTTATTATTGATCAAAACAATAATGTTTTGTGATTAGGATGTTATAATCAGAGCCTTAAGTTGAGAAGGAGCTACATAAGTTTCAAAAAGGTGGTAGTAATTATCAGCTGCTCAATGATTGATAATGAATAATGCTACTATACATCATGTAACTCAGAGTCTGCAATTTGACTAGAGGTGTATAGGCTCATTAGTTCAAGATATCAAACTCATAGCTCAATGCCCCAATCATAAATTTCAAGCAGAATTTAACAAACACACTCACGGCATCATAGTTTTCATCTCTTTTACAATTGCACGCAAAATATCCACAATTAACTAAAATGAAAATAATACAGAAGAGGAAAAACAGAGGGAAAAGAGATGAAGGAGAAGAACTGAACTATAAGAATAGGTACCCGACCTCGTGAGCTGAATGAGTCACAAATGCGACTTCATACTGCTTCTGATCAGAAGCAAAAGCTGCAGCTATGGCCTATGGGGATCAAAAGGAAGAAGAAACCCCATAAACAGCTCGTTAATAGTTGAAAGGTCAGTATTTATTTGGGCATTGAATTGAATATATAAAGGAACGAAGAGTTACGGAGATCGGATAAACGTCGCCTTTGGTACCAAAGGCCATAAATACGGCGATGGGATTCTTTCTCGTTGCTTCCGCCGCCATCGACGGCGACGCAGGCGTGGTGACGTTCGACGTATACGACTGAACTTTTTTTTTTCCCTTCAAGATAATAAAATGTTTGGGAAGAAAATAAAAGAAAAAAAATAAGGTTACCAATACAATTGAATTGAATACACATGTTTGGGAAAAAGATAATGGTACGTGTAAGTAATAAATGTATGTGTACATAACACTCATGGAGTAGGGATTACTTGATTTTTTGTGAGAAATGCTATAAGTACTCACATAGAGTAGGGATTACTTGATTTTTTATGAGAAATGCTATAAGTACTCATCATATAGAATTGTACATAACACTAATATTAAGTGGGTCCTACTAAAAATAAAAAATTAAGTGGACCCCACCCCATATGAGTGTTATGTATACCAATGTACATTTATTATGTACTTGTAGCATTTTTTATCGTGAGAAATGTTATAAGTACATAATGATGTACATAGAGTTGTACATAACACTCACATTAAGTGGGTCCTACTAAAAATAAAAAATTAAGTGGACCCCATCCCATTTGAGTGTTATGTATACCTTAATGTACATTTATTATGTACTTGTAGTATTTTTTTATTTTATTTTTTGGTATGTCCCACTCAATGTGAGTGTTATGTACACTCATATATACAATATTATGTACCTATAGCATTCCTTTACATACATCCGCGCGTTCACACTTGAATTGGTTAATTACGGTACCGCCCCTAGTGTGAACGCAACGCTGTATGTTCAGTACCTCGTCCTGCTTCACACTAGGGACGGTACCGTAATTAACGAATTTAAGCAGGACGAACTAGGGACGGTACCGTAATTAACGAATTTAAGCAGGACGAGGTACTGAACATACATCCGCGCGTTCACACTTGAATTGGTTAATTACGGTACCGCCCTCGTCCTGAACGTACAGCGGCGCGTTCACACTTGAACTAATTAATTACGGTACCGCCCATATAGCGGCGCGTTCACACTTGAATTGATTAATTACGGGAACATACAGCGGCAGGTTCACACTTGAATTGATTAATTACGGTACCGTCCCTAGTGTGAACGCGTCGTTGTATGTTCAGTACCTCGTCCTGCAAGTGTGAACGCGCCGGTATTGGACATACAGCGGCGCGTTCACACTTGAATTGATTAATTACGGTACCGCCCCTAGTGTGAACGCACCGCTGTATGAAATCAACTTTAATAAGTGTGAACGCGCGGCTGTATGTTCAGTACCTTGTCTTGCAATTACGGTACCGCCCCTAGTGTGAACGCGCAGATGTATGTTCAGTACGAGATTGATTATATACTTCCGCTCGTTCACACTAGGGGCGGTACCGTAATTAACCAATTCAAGTGTGAACGCGCGGCTGTATGTTCAGTACCTAGGACGAGGTTGATTATATACTTGCACGCGTTCACACTAGGGACGGTACCGTAATTAACCAATTCAAGTGTGAATGCGCGGCTGTATGTTCAGTACCTCGTCCTGCTTCAGTAAATTAACCAACCAATTCAAGTGTGAATGCGCGGCTGTATGTTCAGTACCTCGTCCTGCTTCAGTAAATTAACCAATTCAAGCAGCACGAGGTACTGAACATACATCCGCGCGTTCACACTAGGGGCGGTACCGTAATTAACCAATTCAAGTGTGAACGCGTGAACATAAAAAAAAATTATGTCTCAAAAATTTTTTTATATAATTCAAACATGTGTTGAATATTGATTATTATAAAAATACTGTTAAATATTGATATTAATTTTTATTATTTTTTATTTTTATGATGCATAATTTATAGTGTCATTTTAGAATCTATATTTATACCAATATAAAAAGAGAATAAGATTTACCAAATTTACCACATATAGATAGATACACATATAGATAAAAAAAATCTATCATTATATAAAAAGAATAACCTTTTTATAGATTTAAAAAGTTTTTCCCGCTATAATCATTAAATATATCCTAATTATAGTAATAGTTGGACAATTGTAAATAAGCACAAAAAACGGCTCCTTAATTGCAGTGTTTCCTTAATTCTAGCTTGCACAATTAAATCGGCGTGCAACGACAAATTCGATTGGCTTTTTTTTAAACTATCCCACAAAAATATCGAAATTTCTGTTTTACATCTAAATCTGATTTTTTTAAACACAAAATCCGCTAAAAGTTTAGATATTCACGTGTACAAATTAGTTACATATTGGATACTTGGAATGAATTATGAAATTAAATAAAACTTTTATTAAATAAAACTTTTTTGGACGGCATCAGTTTATATAAATTTATATAGATATTAAAAAAAACGACATTAATTAAAAACATTGTCTTTTAAAATTGATTCACAACATTCATCGAAAAAAAAAACTGTACAATATATTCTTGGTGTGTACAAATTAAGTTGCTAAATAATTGGAAAGAATCCCACCTTGCTAAGAATTCGAATATCATGCAACTCTTCACAATATTTAGTCTGCATTTATCCGATGTAATGCATCAATTAATTGGAAAATAAGTTGCTAAATAATTGTAAAAAAAAATACGACATTAATTAAAAAACATTGTTTTTTAAAATTGATTCACAACATTCATCGAAAAAAAATTGTACAATATTTTCTTGGTGTGTACAAAGTAAGTTGCTAAATAATTGAAAAGAATTCCACCTTGCTAAGAATTCGAATATCATGCAACTCTTCACAATATTTAGTCCGCCTTTATCCGATGTAATATACCAATTAATTGGAAAGTGAGTTGTTAAATACTTGTACAGAATCTCATCTTGCATTGAATTCGAATATTACAATTCTGAATAATTGGAAAGAGTCCCATATTGCATGAAATTCTCATATAAACTAAAACTTGAACAATATTTTATCCGTCTTCATCCCATTTTTCCTCTACATATAATGTAATTTCCGTATATCAAGATTTTTGCCTACAAATCTTAACAGATATTGATTCTACTCTACCAATTATAAACTATAAATCTCAAAATATTGAGCCATTCTAATTTTTATAGTTTGTGTAGATTTAATAATATATGATTGTTTCTTTGTCCAATACTTGTACAATTTTTCTACGTATTATAAAACTTTTATTTATTATTGCATCTTATAATATAATATTCGCCAAATAAATATATCTCGTGCCTCGCACGGGTCATGTACTACATATATCCCGTATATTTTTCTTTATTCGTGTATATAATTATAAGCCTGGATAAATAGCCTTAAAATTGTGCACCCCGTGCATCGCACGGACTCTGCACTAGTTTTGCCAAAACATGTAATGCATACTATTTTTGGTAATTAATTAAAACAAGTTTAAAAAAAAATTGGTGTGACGTAATATTAATTGGATTGTACTCAGTTTAAAAGTTTTATGATTAATTTGATACTCTGACAATCAACAACTTTAACCGAAACTCAAACTAACTAATTGTATGTTTTGCAATACATCGTTGAATATATTAAAAAAAATTGGGGATTTACTCATCCACCACTTCGTTTATCCTTTGATTAGTCTCTACTTGGATTTGAGTAAAACCGGTTGAGAAGAACTCAATCTGCCTGAACCGCAGCACGCGTACCTGCATGAACTCATCGCCGGAGGGGATTCCGGCGAAGAGCCTCTGATACCTAAGTCAGTGTCCAGAAGATGATGATGATGGTGCATGGAAATAGTGTTTTCAATACCGTACCGTACCGGCCGGTAATACCGGATACCGGCCATTGGTACTGTATAATTGCACACAAAATATCAGATTTACGGTTATACCTGTTTGTACCGGGGTCATACCGTAAATACCGAAAAAAAACCGATCCAAAATACCCGTCATAAAAAAAATAAATAAAAAAAATAAAATTTATTAATTTAAAGACATAAATTTAAGTTGGTAGTTAGAATGTTTATTTTATCTCATTGGTAAGTTAAAATTAATGATTATGGTCATTTATTTTTTTACTTTTTTGTATTTGGTATTATACATTTTTATATATAAATATATATTTGCTAGTCCGGTAATACCACCGATATTACCGGTCCGACCGGTAATACCGCATACCGGTGGCTAGACCGGTATGGCCACCGGTACGGTATATTTAAAACACTGCATGGAAAGTGTCAAAATTAGGGTTTGGTGATACCTTAGTCCCTTTTATTGGGAAATACCTACCGAAATGCTCTGCCCCATAGCCCGCGGGCAACCTACCCAACTGCCTTGACTTACTGCTTATCCATATCCTAATCATTTCCTAGTCATCTACTAGTCACCTTTAGATTCCTCTTTATCTCCTTAAAATTCTTCTTATCCCTACTTTCTCCTAGTTTAAGTCATGATCCCTTTACAGTCCGTCCATCACATACTCTGTTGGTAGAGGTCGAGTCTTTGGCTGCTTAGGTCGTCTGACATGGTTCACATAGAGGACCCTTAGATGACCTAAGTGCTCGGTCGAGTTATATTGAGTTTAAGGTTGTTTAGGTCATTTTCATGGCAGTGAGGTCGTCCCGTCCCTCAAGCTGCGATCCTCCTGACAGCTAGTCTTTTAAGCCGGTCGAGCTCCAGGTATTGGAATTTTCCCCGTCTACGAACAACCTTTTAGCCAGCTTTAAGCTGTTCAAACTAAAAATTTATATAACGACCTCGCCCAACCCATCTTGCGAGCTGTTAAAAGTTAGAATCAGCGAGCAACTTTTTAGCCAGCTTAAAGTTGTTCAAACTAATAATTTAAATCATGATCTCACCTAACCCAGTTTGAGAGTTGTTCAAAGTTGGAATCAACAAGCAAATTTTTAGCCAGCTTAAAATTGTTCAAACTAAAAATTTAAATCACGACCTCACCCAACCTAACTAGCGAGTTGTTCAAAGTTGGAATCAGCAAACAACTTTTTAGTCAACTTAAAGTTGTTCAAACTAAAAATTTAAATCAATGAAGGTATCCAGGTTCATAATTCTACAAGGTATTTGGGTTTACCTCTGGGTTACACTGCGGTTGTTGTTAGAAATAGACTATTAAACTGGAAGTCTAACTTCTACTCCTCTGTTGATAAAGAAGTTTTAATAAAGGTTGTCATTGATGCACTTCCAGTTTTTTCTATGTCTTTCTTCTGTCCGCCAAAGGAAGTTTGTAGGGACATTGCAAGGTTAACAGCTAACTTTAGTGGAGTAAAAGGAATGACCAACTCTCAGTATACATTTGAAAGCCTGAAATTTAGTCACTTTGCTTAAAGATAGGGGTCGTCTGGGTTTCAACGATCTCTGCCTGTTCAATGAGGCTTCGATTGTAACACCCCGCTTATCAGAGTAACTTTTTCGTAACCTTTTACTTCAATATCACTTTAACTTTTTCGAAATAATTGCAACTTACTCGGGATGCTACTAAACTCGTCTTCTTGAAAATCCGTTTATCTTTAAACTGTTGTCTAATACTTCTTTAGACTTATTAAAACAGATTTCCTTTAAACTTGCATTTAACATATTATCATCGTATTTCTCATAAAAACTTGAAATCTAAAATTCATTAAAATGCAAGTTTAATAATTAATGTGCGTAGCAGAAATATTTGAAACGTGGTTAATTATACAAACTTTATAAATGTCCACATTAAAGCTTGTCTTCATTTTCTTCCACGATCCACACCACACGGCTCTTCTCACACCTCCTCGTTAACCTGTTACCTGAAACTAAAACTCATGGGGGTGAGTAACGAATATGGATAATCATAAACCGATATCTGATCGGTAACTTAAACTTAAACTTTCATTTCTCTGGCCGATGGTTAATCGGATACGTGTGCACACTCTGATGGATATTTCTCAGGCCCGTCTCGCCTCCATCAGAACTTAGGATATAATCTTTGAGACAAATTAATGCCTCCTCATCCCAAGCGTAATAAACCTTAAACTTCGGGATATAACTTTTGAGACAACTGATGGTCTCCTCATCCCATATCACATATCGTACTCAATGTGCTACCCATTCAGGGTCCCCACCTTTTCATCTTTGAAATCGTTTGTAACTCAATAAGTTCTGTACTGGTACTGTATCTGCAAGTTAAATCAAATATAGACAAATATACTAAGTACTATGCTCGTATACTTAATAAGTTCTTAGGATTATTAACTTATCCTATTCTTAAACTTGCTTATTCTCAAGTTTATACTTAACGTCACTTTTTACTTTTACTCAAGGTTAATTACTTAACCTTATAAAACATATCTTCTTAAACATCAATATGTTTCATAACATGCCATAACTCAAATGTGAAAATAACCATATTTCACATTATACTTGATTAAGTACTTAACTTACTTTTACCATCATCATCATCATCATGGTTTATAACCTCATCTTAACTTGATCTTTCACTCAATCAAGCACTTAATTCATCATGCATCATACTTCTCAAAATTTAGATATTGACTTATTTTTCACTTAATTATCTTGAAAGTGAAAATAATCATATCATACTCAACTTTCTCATCATGTTCTTAATATGTGAGATTTAAAACAATTTTTATAAAATTACATACTCAACATATTAAGCTGAAACTTGGTCAAATTGCTCATCACTCATATAAGAATTTTTTTCTAAAAATTCCATTTTAAAAACTCAACCATATACTGAATACTCTTGCATATAAAATCATCTTGACATGTATGCCATATAAATATTTTAACTCGTTCATTTCTCAACATAAAATCATGAAATTTGGCAGTCATGTTCTTAACCCATATATAAGCATGTCGTAAAAATTTCATAATTTTATCATGTGTATATATCGAGTTATTACAGTTTTAAAGTCACAGCTGAAATAAAGAACATAAAATTCAACTTGCATGCTTAACTTCAAAAATTTATAACTCAAGCTATACTATGTCAAATGACATAATTCTTTCACCTATATACTCAGCACTTACACAAGAAATATCCATAATAAGCTTAACATGTCAGGTTATGCATATCATGCTCAAATTCAAATCAAAACAGTACATATATAACATGTGATTGTGCTGGAAACAACTTATCATTTTTTTATTTCATGTTTAAAATTTCTTTATAAAGTGAATATATATATATATATATATATATGGCATGCAAATACATCAATATTTACTTAATATAAACTATAACATATGATAAAAAGGTAGCATCTAACCTTCTTCAAGAAATTTGAAAATGAAACTTCGGAAGTTGATCTCAACTTATCTTCGTCAAGATTTCTCTCGATTTATCTCTCTTTCTTACCCTCTATAGCTAAGACTTTGCTTATTATGATATGAATTTCGAGCCTATGTTGATGCTCCTTTATATAGGGTAGAAAAGGAGACAACATCACCTTCTTTACATCAACACTCCATCATAATAAACACCATAGGCCCCTTATCATTAATGTTTTTCTAAAACCTTGCACAAAGATGATTAAGCCTTGATAAGTACTTGTAATGCATGATTTATCTTGCATATATCAAGACAAACCTTCTCCCTTTGACCATGCCTCGAAATTAAGCTAAAATGACTCATTTATCCCTTAAAAATACTTATAACAATTTTATAAAAATAAATAAAGATAAAGAATGGAAATCATAACTTGTAAACATAACAAATCTATAGTCAATACTTAGAAAGACCCATCATGTGATCCTAATTTGATTTCCATGATAAAATTCGTGACTTAATGAAAAATTTCCAATTTACAGAACCGAATTCTGACTTAAAACGAACGGTTACCGAAAAATCGAAAATTCTAAAAATTTCATATTTCTCTCTAATAATTTAAATAGACTAAAATGTCTAAATAAATTTTCTCACTTCTTTGTACATTTATAACTTAAATGTTCATGGATACTTAACCGAACTCGAGACCTAACTTGTCTCGACTCATTATTCTTTCTCATTCACACTAGAAATGGCCAAATTTACATCCATTTAGCTAAATAAAATGGAATGTTACTAGAATTTGAACTTCATCTTAAATAACTTATTTCACTTCAATAAACATTAATGTGTAATTAATTCTTATAACTTGATCAATACTCAAAACTAAGCTAGGCTCGAGAATCATTTGCTCGGTAATAATCTTAACTCGTAACCGAACATGCTTGGTTCGGTTCACGACTTATCTTGAACGAGTAATCAAAATATACTCGATTTTTATTATTCGTCATCTTATTATAATTAATCCCATCTTATAAATCCATTTATAAAAATAAACAAACCGGAATTAATTAATTACTGAACTGGCTCGATTACTAAATAAAATTTAACCGAGAATACTTTCAAATTAAAGTCGAACTTTTAACTGAATAACTTAATAACTGGGCTCGAAACTAGGAACGAGCATTATTAATAAAAGTAATTAGTTCAAACTTAGAACTAAAATAATTACTTTTATTAATTACTGAATGGGATATTACATCGATCCTGAAACAAGTCTGGAGAAGTCTCACAAAACCAAACTTGTTGGTAAGCAAAGTATTAAAGGCCAGATATTCCCCTAACTGTACCATACTTTAGGCTTCAAAATCTTCTTCTGCTTCTTGATAGTGGGCAAATTGGTTGGTAGTTAGAGATAAGTACAAAGCTCATTTCAAATTCCAGATTAGTGATGGAGTTTCAACAAATATTTAGTCTGATCTTTGGCTGCTTAACCACCATAAAGTGAAACCTGTGTTGAAAGATGGAGCTACTTGCCAGCTGCAATTGGTTGTTCAATTACTAAAACAAGGAGGTAGAAGATGGAACAAGACAACCTTGACAAACTGTTTAGTGAGGAGGATGTGGAGGCTATTCTCAAAATTAACACTCTTAATAAAGATTTGAAGGACGTGTGGATATGGGTTTTGGACCTTAAATGGTTGTTCTCTATTTTCAGCACCTACTCCAACATCATTAAGCGGAAAATTCAGAGACCTTAATATTGCTGAAGGAAGTCTGTCTGGGGAGAATGATAGGAAAATCATAAAAAGGAGTTGGAGTTCGAAAATCAAAGGCAAGTTAAAAACACTTCATTTCGAAGTGTTTTAACAATATTCTACCTACCAGCTTCAACCTGTTGAAAACAGGTATGGATGTTGATCCTATTTGCAAGGGATGTTGGGAAGATGTTGAGACTATGGAGCATGTATTCTTCAGCTGTCCTAGAGCACATATTGTTTGGAGAATTGCACCTTTAAGTTGGAGTGTCTTGAGGAGAAGCAATCATATTTTAGATAATGGTGGTGGGGTATCTGTTTCTTGGACAGGAAGGCAATCTCAGAAGATAGAATTCAATTGACTACATACTTGCTATGGCCTATGGTGGCTCTGGAAGTTCAGGAACCTATAGAAATTCCAAAACATTTCCATGTCAGAGGCTGCTGCAATAAGTGCAACCATCAAAGAGTGGATGGAGTTTGCTGGTAAGAAGAACTCGGAGTGAAGACAAGCTCAAGACTGGTTTAGTAGATCCTTAGGGTTCATTGGTGATTATTTCTTGTTGCTTCTTTTTGGTATCTACATCACTTCTCTTGGTTGATTAAACCAAAGTTTCAGTCCTGCTGCCTTTCGTTTATTCTAGTAGATACTGTGTAGTTTCTTTTGTGTTGTAGTGTTCTTTTCTTTGTTGGATTTGGTTTGCTTTTATCCTAGGGAACCCGTGGGGTGACCCTCTTGTATTAGTTTGTGGTTTTTGAGCTAGTTAGCCCTTCGATTGTAAGACTTCTTTATTAGTATGAGATTATTTCTATCGTTGCAAACAAAAAAAAATATAGAAGTATTGGTCAAAGTTTTTCAATCTTTTGTAAATTTTGCGGATGTTCACAGTCAGCTTTTATACCTGACTATAGATTATTTGTATGTTTTACATCATTAGTATGCCTATTCAATCAATTGGAAGTAAATGTACTCAATTTCTATAGCAACTGACCAATAGATACAATTTACTAAGGTTTCCTGCCACTTTCATCTCACAGTCTATGTAAAATACTAAAATCAGAGTTGGTTAAACAAGTACTTTCAGAGTGTCTTTACTCTTATGACCGAGGAAAAGAGGAAACGAAAACCTACAGTTCTGGGAATGTTACTTTGCAAAACAACCTTTGCATGGAGACCCTCAATCTGAATAAAGAAAACAAATTGGCGTTCAAAAATCACAATACTCAAAAAACCAAAAAAAAACTCTGATCAAACACTGGAACACTGTTAGGTCCTTAGAAAAACACATTTCATTTTACAGAATCTATTATGATAATCAATTCTTCTACTACAATCCGGGTAGCGTCAAAACTTGAGGATGCACAAAGCAATATTTCGAACAGGTAGAAGAAAACCAGCCTCGTACCACTTTTGATCGATCTGTGTTGTAGAGATTTTACAGTCATGGAAGTCTAAGAGGACTCAATATCCGAATCTTCCAGCCCTTCTTGGTAAACCTCAAAGTCCTCCAAGCTCCATCTACATATCAGATGGAGTTTGAAGGTAGCCATCTTGACACCCAAAAGGCGCTGTATAACAAGAACCATATTTCCAAAATTTAAACGATTTAATAAATCTATTTTTAGAGAGAGAAGTAAAAAGAAAAAACAAACAGAAATGCAAATCAAAGATAAAACCAGCCACTAACCACAAATCGAATTATATTAATCAAAATATGAAACAGAAGTGCAAACACCATATCTTTATAAATTTGACTAGAAGACGAATCATTCAGCATTATATTTAGTAAGTCATATCATTATGAGATTATATGTAAAATTTAAAAGTCATAAACTAACCAGGATGCGGGCTGACTCAGGTGACAATGGTTTTCCTTCTTCACATACAACAAAGTCTGATACGAGCTCCACGACCCCTACACAAAGATTTGTATGGTCGAACAAACATAGGAAGCTATACAAAAACACCAAGGACAGAAAACAATGCAGAAAAAAAAATAGACCAAGGACATACCTTTGTTTAACCGAACAGGCATTCCCTGCTTGCGCAAGAATGGTTCCATTTCATGTGTGAATTGATCCAGAGGACCTTCTTGTAGCTCCACCTAAAGAATCGAACAACATGAGAAACATTAGGGATTATTTTCCTTGATGCCACCGTTAAGGTTCACATTTGAGTCATGACGCATTGGGAAGAGGTTAGCAACTTTTGTAGACATTCATCAAACTGCATCACCATCTCATCTCAATGACCTCTAAATTAATGACGAGCAACCCCTACCCCATTTCTTGGTTCCTCGAAAAATTATATCCTAGTTCGAAACCTACATTTCTCACTCACATTCATGCAAATATATATTGACCTTCCACAAGTCAAAAAATATGAAATCAAATCCTCAATAAAATAATGAAAATGCAATCTCACTGAAGTTACAACCATATTTTATCAGTTATCGTAGTAGTTAAGTCAGATGGCCAGACAACCAAATTAATGAATATGTAT